TTATACTGGCATGGACTGTGTTTTTTCTCAGCGCCTAGGGAAACACAAATGACAGAGTTTGTGTGCAACGTTACTTGATGTGGCTGAGTATAGTAAAAGAGCTGGGGGGGTGTGGGGTTACTCGCTTTATTCTTTACACTTTTAGAACCTCCTCTGGTGCAAGATTTGGACAAGGACCTTATACCAACCACTCTAAAAATGCAGTATGTGGTACTTTATTGTTTATGGAAACCTAAATGATATTCCTTGGGTATAGAGATTATCAATGTAGCCTCTTAAATATTTATTTAAAGCCCATTTCCACCTTTGCAGAGGCATTTAAAAAAAAAACATATGGGGCGTGGCCAAGCAATGGAGCCGTAGAGACGTGAGTGTGCCGAGCTCTGCTCCCTCATGTACCTGTTACAGCTGACTAACTGCAGATTAATCACTCTGGTCCCCATGATTGGCAACCCGAGACTTACCCGATCCTGTAAGAAGACCTCCTGTTGGACTATTCCCAGATACTTTTCGCCGGCGGCTCAGCGAACTTCGACAGCCTCCTCTGCACGTATGGAACCGAGCGGCCATATTGACTCCCGCGTGGAAGGACTCCCTCGGCCAGGTCAGTCCGCACTGGATGCCCCCTATCATGCTGATCACGCGGTCTGTGACCGATCCCCCATCCGCTCACCGAGGCTGCCTGACACCGCTACACAGCCAGCGGCCCCAGCCCCACAGCTGTCACCTACCCTGGCCTCAGTTCTAGGGGAAGACATCAGGGCACTGATGCACTCCCTGGCCACCAAGGAGGACGTGCATCACCTAGCGCAGCAGGTGGAGGGGACAGTAAGAAGGGAGATTGAGGGGGTTGCCCAGTCGGTCACCGGACTGGAAGCAAGGGCGACCACAGTTGAATCGTCCCACGACGATCTGATGACCAGAGTTGCTGCCCTGGAGTCCTCTGCCGCGGGCCAACACAGGGCCCATGCCCTGCTGTACCTTAAGCTGGATGACCGTGAGAACAGGAATCGGCGGGAAAACAACGTGCGCCTGAGGGGGGTCCCTGAATCCACTGCTGGATTGCGCTCCACCATCCAAGCTATCCTAAACCAGCTGCTAGGTCATGACCCCCTGACACCTATAGAAATGGATAAGGTGCACAGGGTCAATGGCCCCCGGAGCGCCGACCGCACATACCCCAGAGATGTATTGTGCAGGGTACATTTCTTTGTACAGAAAGGGGCTATAATGAGGCAAGCCTGGCGCAAGAAATCAGTGACCTTTGATGGTGCGGTGATCACTGTCATGACTGATCTATCCAGACATACTCTCTTCCTAAGACGCTTGATCCGTCCGCTCCTCGCGCAGATATCCTCTGCAGGAGCGTCCTACAAATGGGGTCACCCCTTCCATTTGCAAATACAGAAGGACAGATCCACCTTTCTCCTGATGACGCCGGATAAGCTTCCGGAACTGTTCGCTCGTTTTCTGGACATAGAACCCATTGATGTCCCTGACTGACTTCTCGCCCCTGCGGCCTCCAGGCCTAATATTCAGACGGCCCCTCGACCACAGAGACCTCGCAGAGGGCGCTCACGGTACCACTCCAGAGTCGATTCGGCCCCAGACCCGCTGTCCCGCGAGACCTGAAGATACCATACAGGAGCCCCGAAGTGTGCCTTAGACATTGAATCACCATCTTTGATCTCCCCATCCTTCTTCACCGGGCCAACGCCCAGACCCATATTTGACTCCCTCTCCCCCCCTTTTAGGATACTTGACTACCAGCTGAGGACAACGGCCGGGCACACTCGCTGGCTTGAACCCCACGGACTGAACTGTACATTGTGCAGTCCCCCCAGCCAGTCCGGATCCGAGCAAACCCACGGGGATCTATGATGTCCGGCCTGGTATCGTTGCTCCGTGTTGCTGCCCCTCATCCAGGCACCCCTACTGACTGTTGCAGTTTATATCCCTGTTTGAAAGACCCTATGTTTCCACAGGGGTGCTGAGATTGGGCATCAAACGTGTGCTGTTATACCTATATGATTATCCGGTGATTTTTTTTGTCATAACCCCTTTACATTACGGGTCATGGAGGGGCAAAAGTGGGCCCCTCCATGACCCGTACTCTCTCATGATTCGGGAGAAACAGTGTATTGAAAATGAACATCCTTCCACGTCTATTTTATCTGTTCCAGACCCTACCAGTGCACATCACTATGACATTCTTAAGGTCCGTGCGGAGATAATTTGCATCCTTTCTCTGGGCGAATGGAGCCCACAGACTAAACAAATCCCTCATGGCACTGCCCAAGACTCGAGGAGGGATTGGTTTCCCTGACCCTAACTGCTATCATTTGGCGGTACACATGGCTCGCGCATTTGAGTGGTGCAATGTGTCCTCCGACAAACGATGGCTGCAACTAGAACAGGCTGTGTCGCATCTCCCAATGTCGTGACTGTTGTGGACAACGCAGCCTCTGCCCAGGGAGATACTACGCCACCCTCTCACAGGTAACACGATCCGTGTGCTCAAAAGAATGACTGCACTACTCCCAGACAATGACTCCCCCTCTCTCTTGACTCCGGTAGTGGGGGACCCAGCCTTTATCCCTGGCCTAGAAGACGGCTCATTCTCGCGGCTAGTGGTAGCCAACAGATTTCGGGTAGGACATTTCAGACCTCTCCGGGAATTCACTAGCTTGGACTCGTTGTGCAATCTGGTAACTCCCCCCCTGTTGCGCTGGCAGGCCCTTCAGTTACAAAGCTTTCTTACTAGGTCTAGCAACCCCACTCCTATACGTACGGAGCTGACAATGTTTGAAGACGTGTGTGACTGGGGAGTATGTTGACCATGGACTATCAAAAGCTCTCTTGACTCTAAAAACCGATCACCCTGAGCCGAGCTTTATAGCAAAATGGGAAAAAGATCTAGGGACGGCCTTCACCCAAGACCAAAAGGACTATATGCTCCATTTCGCACATAAAACCTCAATAGCTAGCTCTATACAAGAAACAGGGTACAAAATCCTTACCAGATGGTATTATGTTCCCACCAAGCTCCACAAAATGTTCCCTCAGACCTCCCCGCTGTGCTGGAGATGCGGGTGGGAGGACGGCTCTATCTTACACATCTTCTGGTCATGTCCAAGCCTTGGGGGGTTTTGGGATGCAGTCCTTCGGATTACTAAGCAACTCACAGGGGTCTCCTTGTCGGGAGACCCGGCCGCAGTATTGCTTCATCTGTCCACACTATCCGGACCAGATACCGTAAATCTCTGTTGATCCACTTACTTAACGCAGCCATGCATCCCTGCATCCCTCTTTGCTGGAAAAGTGTTAACCCACCATCGGTGGGTCTGTGGCTCCGCAAAGTAGACAAAATTCGGGTGATGGAGGAACTAACGGCAACTCTACACCATACTGACCAAGCATTCCGAAAGGCTTGGTTTTACTGGTTAGAATTCCTCTACTCTGCGGAGCATGGTGCGATAATGGTGGAATAACTGTCACACTCCGTTTGCGGGGATTACTTCCCAATGTGCCATGGACATAACTGGACATGCTGGGCCACACGCCATATCTGAAGTGAAATGGGGCACGCCCCCAGCTCCTGCTCAGTTCTCTGCTGGACCTCTTCCCTAGCTCTTCACACCCTGTATCTCACTGCTGACTCCTGCTCACTCCTTCCCTTTCTGATTCTTCTTCCCCCCACCCTTTCCTCATGGTGTCGGATCCGACTGGTTTTTGGAATGGCTGACAAGTGACCAGCGGGTGGGGAGTGTCGTGAGCGGACCCATCGGGCTTCCCCTGGGTCAGGCGCTGACACACCACGATCTGCACCGAACCCCTGGACTACAGGTTACTAAGAATACAAGGACACCCAGGTGCCATATAGACACACCACCCATTGGGCCTGAGATGGCCGTTGGTTGATATTAGTCATTTAATAATATCTGATTGTACCGATGCATGCACTGCATTTTATTTTTTGTCTTACCCTCTGTTCTTTGCTTTTTATTTGTATTATTGAAAAATGAAAATAAAGAATTAAAAAAAAAAAACATATGCCGAAGCAGACATATGCAGATGCTGTATATAAACACAAAAACTTACTTTACCTTTAATATGTATGGTATGATATATACTGTATATACAGTAAATGCTTCTCAAATATGCTATCATGGAGTGTTGGGAAAACAGAAAATACACTTAGCAGTATTTTCCAGTAATCTCTATAATAGACTGTGTTATTTGTTTATGACAGCACATGAGATTAACCGTAAATGAGATTGCGGCTATTTATTCCTTGAGAGATTACAATGAAATACAGTTATGTGTAGTTTTTTGTATGTGTTTTTTTACTTTTTAATTTGTGGCATAATAGTAAAAAGGGTAGTATTTAGACTCCATTGGGCATTTAAATCTTGCAGAGATCCATGGTGTAGAGATCTCTGCTCACCTATAGTTTGGCAATGGTCAACTCCTGCTTCACTGAGAGTGGAGCTTCTCATTTATAAAATATTGTGAATCACACGAGAACCTGGATGTCAGCTGTGGCTTGTCTGATAGCTAAGCATCCTGATTGCCTATGAATGTTTGCATGGAATCTTTTAGAGGACTGGTGACATAAATAAACATAGGGGAGAATTTATCAAAACTGGAGCAGACATAATCTGGAGCAGTTGCCCATGGCAACCATTCAGCTTCTCTTTTCAGTTTGTAAAGATTTGTTTTTTTGTTATGTTCTCTATATGAATTAATTAAGAATCCAGTTTTTCAGGGGAACCAGAAAGCTTGGATCTCAAGTAAGCAGTAGCTGACAGGGCTGGTCCTGCCACATGACATGTCCTTGCTGGGGTCATGGAGAACAGCAAAGATTTGATTGAGGGTCAATTCTTGCCCCCTTTCTTCCTAAACTGAAACCGTTTTGGACGATGTCCTACTTTTTTAAACATGTTTCTTGCATCCAGCTATGTCAAAGTCATACATACATTTTTTTTTTCCCTTTTCAGATCCAGTGTTTTGGGTGTATGTGAAAGAAATACTTAACAAGCATGAACTTCAGAGATTCCACTCTTTGAAAAACATCACCACTGACATAGGAAGGGGCCGTGCTTGGCTGCGCTGTGCTTTGAATGAACATTCCCTTGAGCGTTACCTGCATATGCTGCTTGGAGATCCAAACAGGCGTAGGTAATATTGATCTGCACAGTTGTAAAACAGTAGATCATTGATCAAAAAAAAATGTTGTAGGTTAGAGTTCAGGGGATAATGCACCGTTGAAAGGATCAGAAAGTCATTAAGGTTGTATTTATCCTTCACTGTATAAAGTATTTTTTTTTCTGTAGCCTGATTATAAGGCAGTATTTTGCCTCAAAGATTTACATGGTTGAGAGGAAAACAGCCCATACTACATCCAAACACTGCAAGCTGCCCCAGAGCTGTAAGTGGCTGGAGAGCTAGGGAGGCCAGCAGGGCCAATCATTGTGTGCTTTTATGATCCACCGTAATTTTAGAATAGTGAAGTGTGAGAAAACCTAATAAGTGGTACTTACAGGCTAGCTGCTGAAAGCAGGGGAAGTTACTGTATATGGCTGGCTGAGAGGCAGTAGCAAGAAGAACTGTCACAGAGATCCTTGCTGTGAAGCTCCGAGGCTGTGATTTACCTCATACTGGGCTGAAAAGCTAGACTTATCTGTAGTTGTGCAGTAAAACCCCCTAAGGGGATCTGCAACACATTGGTGTGATGCAGAAAATGTCAAGGTGTGTGCAGCACATTTAATGATGCAGTGCCTGTACCTTAGAATGTCTGGGGCACATTTTGTATGTTGCAGCATTAAAATCCAAAGTATTAATCACGTAGGGTGTAACAACAAGAGCCTTTTTACATGCCAGACTCCCCAAAAGGGGCAAACACCTAATACTTACCACACTGTGATCTGATAGAGCACCCTGCAGCAAATGGACACAGTAGTTAAAACTTAAAAAGGGCTGATTTCTAAAAAAACAACAGTCTTTTTTCTCCTCCATCATAATTTAATCCTGAGGAAAGCCAATAGGAAATCAATCTTTACACAATTGATCAATGCCACCTGAAGCTGCATTCCAAAACTATGGGAACAGTCACAGCCTCCTTTCTATTACCTTGTGGTTTAATACATAAATTAAATTAAAAGAATGGAAGATATTATCACTTTGAACATAGGTACTCACAATGCTTTTTGGAAGGCCTGGTTTTATTGGACAGTTGGTTTTCCTCAGCCTAGGAGTTTGAGGCATTCTCTGAGACAACCCCACTGATTGAGAGATGGAATGGATGGGAGGGTGCTTCCTTAGTTTTCTTGACCCTTTGGTCCTCCGATCCCCAATACTTTCTCTCAACTCTCTTGATATTTCCACCCTTTTGACCGGAACAGTCCATTTACCTTATGTGTTGTAATCCCCCTTCTGTTCCCTCCACTCCCTCTTGTTGTTTGACTCACAGAAGAGGGCCTTAGGTGTATAGAGTTTGCGATATATACTTGACCAAATGTTTGACATGTTTAATTGTTGTTCTATGATTATACTATGTAACATGTTTACTGGTGTCTTAACCCCTTCGTGACGGGAGACGTACACTGTACGTCCAGCCACAAAGGGACCAAATGACTTGTCACGTACACTGTACGTGACAAGTTATTTGCTGCTTTAGAGGTGGGGGGGCGTGGCTACGACATGGCCGAGTAAAGAAGCACATTGCTGGAGCTCTGTTCCCCTCGGATAGCTTATGGACTCAGTGGACTCTGATCTCTCACCCTAATTGCATGTCTCAGCCTAGAAGGACACCCGGCCCCTCTAAAGTGCAACCGGGCTCCGATATTCAGCGCTTCTTTTATAAAACGAGATCATCGGGGGAAGCGACCGCGCCTGACAGCATGGCACAGACGCGTGCGGCCTACGTCTGCAACACTCCAGGGAAACGTGGGGGGTTACCGGTACCACCACCAGCGGTAACAGAGGCGGCAATCCGGCCGGAACGTCCTGACTCCCCCATCCTCACGCCACTTCTCCCTGTTGTGGACGCCTCATCTGAACCGGAGGCCTCCGGGCCTCAGACGGGCTCGAGTACTGCGGAACTCGGGGACTGGCGGCAATACCTTCCTCTCCTACCCACGAAAAGACACCTGGACGACATGGCAACGAAAATCGTTGCTGCCCTACGCCAGGAGGTACATGAAGTGAAGCAGCGGGTCACCACCCTCGAGGCGCAGGTCACTACAGTGGAGCTAACCACCTCACAGCTGTCACAACGCATCTCAGCTCTGGAGGGGGCCCAAGGTGAGACGCAGCAAAAACTCACCACTCTATTCCTACATCAGGATGATGCAGAAAATAGAAGCCGCCACAACAACCTGCGTGTGAAAGGCATACCGGAGGCAACGTCGGGTGCTGAGCTTCGCACCACCGTGGCGGCAGTCCTGAACTTGCTACTGGAGAAGCCCCCCACTGATCCACTGGAACTAGACCGGGTCCACAGGGTGCAAACTTACCGCTCCCAGCTGACTGGTGCACCCTGTGACGTCCTCTGCCGGGTGCATTTTTTCACAGTCAAGGAAGCCATCTTGCGAGCAGCGTGGAGTAAAGGCACGGTCGAGTTCGATGGCGCACAGATTCAAGTGATGCCTGACCTCTCCCGCCATACGCTGAGGATGAGACGGATCCTGAAACCTCTTCTGGATTTGCTACGTGAGGTGGGTGCAACTTACAGATGGGGTCATCCCTTTCACCTCATTGTTCAACGACATGGCTCATCTTTTGCCCTCCACACCCCGGAGCAGCTACCCGATCTCTTCGCATCGAGCCAGCATGGCAATCCCATGCCGGCTCGACTTCCCCCACGGCCCTTTTTCCTCTGCGGGTCCTCCACCTCGTACATCACAGGCTGCCGCTCGGGGGGGCAGACGCCAGGCCAGAAGACCCTCACCTCGCCGGGACCCAACTTGGAGTGAGCCCTGACTTCAGCCACCTTTGACAGCATCCCCAGTGGGATTATCCGGTCCCTGCTTGAGTATCTACACAAAGCTTCTTGTGATCCGGAGGGTCTTCCGCCGCCATTGCACCACATCGCATACAGGTGGTGTATGACATACCTTTATTGATATACTCACCAGTTTGATGACATTCTATCCTTCCCAGTTGGGTCAGCGAGGTGGGATTGTTCTACAGACACTGCCTTGTTAGACGATGAAAAATCTTATTTTCACCCTTGCCGTGGTTACGGACTAGAGGGACTCGCGAAAAGGAAGGTTTATGGCCTACACTTAATGTCGTAGCCACCCGAGTTTTACTGTTATGCTATCCTTACAGATGAGGTCGGCAGGGTGAGATTGCTTTTCTGCTAATGTTAGGTTTAACCCTGCCCTCTGCTCTATTTTGACCGGCACTCTAACACTGTTGAAGTTTACTTGTTTAGTGTATTATTGGGCATCACCTCGATCGCATTGGGCAGGGGAACATGCGTTGCTGGGTCCCACTACCTGGGATTCCTCCCCCCGCCGCCCGCCCCCTGAGGGGGGGGGGGGGGGGGGTAGATGGGCTCCATGACCTTCTGTCGACATGCCTTACCGTCTTAGGCCGTGCCACTGGGCATCCCCATATGCAGATTATTGTGATACTTCACTTTCATGCTATAGGCACTGTTATATAACCTGTTCTTAACATACACAATCGCCTTCTCCCTATCGCTGAGAAGTACAGCGGCGTACACGCATAGGGTAATTTTATCTGCACTTCAGTTGGCCAGGGGGAATACCTCCTGGCTGCATGCAGTGCTGTACCTGTTTTTCTGTTCTCGCTATTTCCTACCCCCACATAGGCTTGCCTCGTTCACCGTTGAACGAGACTTCAATTGAAACTTTAGTTTGAACTAACCTGATTTATACAAAGTATGTTATTTGCTGACCCACGTGGTACATTCCTATACCTGTTTCTTTCCTTACTTTCTTCTTCTTCAGCTCCCCCCCTTTCTCCCTCCCTTTTTCTTTCTCCCTTTCTCTCTCCCCTTGTACCCACCTTCTTTCTCTAGGGTTCCGGACGGGCTCTGAATACCTGGGGGGTTGTCATGGGGCCCCTGGGGATAACCTCTCTGAACGTCCGTGGGCTTAATATCCCGGAAAAAAGATCTAGACTATTGTCGGACCTCAGACAATCACGCACTCAGGTGGCATTCATCCAGGAGACACACTTCCAGCATGACAAGGTACCCAAACTAGTCAATAGAGACTTCCCATGGTCATATCACTGTCCCTCTCCATTGTCCAAATCCAAGGGAATGAGCATACTGCTGTCCAAAGATGTCCCATGGACCTTTGGGAGCCTGCTGCTGGACACTAATGGGAGATACATACTCCTCAAAGGGAAACTTGGTGACACCCAGGTCACCTTGGCAAATGTTTACTTCCCAAATACAGACCACCTGGGGTTCCTACAGGCTCTGGTCCCGCGACTGTTAGAATTTATGGAGGGGGTACTGATTTTTGGAGGGGACCTCAACTTTCCACTAGATCCGCTCTGGGATGTCTTGAAAGGGACCTCTCACCTGTCTTACGCCTACCTACGGAAACTAAAGGCAGAATTACATCTGCTCCAATTAGTGGACGTATGGAGATTCTGTCACCCAACCGGACGAGACTTTACTTACTTCTCCGCACCCCATCAGTCGTACAGTCGTACTCCCGTATAGACTATCTGTTTGTGCAACATAAGGATCTCTCACTGGTGAGAGGGGCTTCCATAGATAATATTTTGATGTCAGACCATGCTCCCATACATCTGACCCTAGACCTATTGGCTCCGAGGTCCCCGTCATGGAGACTCAACGAGTCTCTGTTGCAAGACCCGCTGATTAAGGCAGAGGTAGAAGCAGAACTGAGGGCATTTTTCACTGTCAACGCCCCTTCCTCACCGTTCATGATCTGGGAATCCCATAAATGTGTAATGAGGGGCCTACTTATTAAACATAATTGACCTCTAGGATTGCGTTCCTCTTATCTCGCCTTCGGGTATTAGAAGGCCTGCATAAAAGGTCGCAGGCTGCAAACTCGGGGCCTGAATTGGTGGAGATACGGACAGAACTAAATGCCCTGTTTTTTTAAACGGGTTAGGGGCAAGTTACTAAAGGGGCGTAGGACTCTATACGAATACTCAGACAAACTGGGGAAGCTGTTGGCGAATGCTATCAGGGGCCCACATCGCCGATCCTATATCCCCCACGTGATCACTTCCTCCGGGCGCAGGGCGACAGTATCCTCAGACATTGCGGCGGAATTTAAAGCATACTATGAGTCCCTGTACAACCTAGGGTCTGGGCCTTCACATGCACGGGGACAGCCCACAGAGGCAGCCATAACACAATATATCCGGGCGTCCGGAATGCCATCGCTTGCTGCCGAGAACAGGGACAGTATGGAGGCTCCGATCCGACCCGAGGAACTACTATGGGCGCTGAAGACTACCCAATCTGGGAAAGCCCCGGGTCCGGATGGCTTCTCGCTTCGTTACTATAAACATTTCACCGACGCCCTGACGGGTCCCTTCCCGGCCGGCATACAATGGCATTCTGGCGGGTCCACCCCTTCCAACAGACACTTTACATGCTTGGATCACTGTGCTACCAAAACCCGACAAGGACCACTCCTCCTGCAGCAATTACCGTCCCATAGCACTGTTAAACGTGGACTTTAAATTATTAGCGAAAATAATAGCCAATAGACTGTTGCCATTTCTCCCACAGCTTGTCCATCCTGACCAGGTGGGTTTCATACCGGCACGTGAGGCCAGGGATGACACCACCCGAGCCCTTGGGGTGATATACCAGGCTAAGAGTTCAGGGACCCCGATGATGTGGCTGGGTGAGCTGGGCCTTTATGTCTGGGGTACTCCGACACATTGGCCTGGGGATGAACATGCTGACGTGGATAATGGCTTTATACTCCTCCCCAACGGCCGCGGTCCGTTGGGGAGGGTTAATGAGACCAGATCCCAGACCTTTCCCCTGACCAATGGGACCAGACAGGGATGCCCCTTGTCCCCCTTAATTTTTGTGCTTACATTGGAACCATTCCTCCACACCGTGCGGAACTCTACGACCATCTCAGGGCTCCCCACCTCAACGGGAGAACACAAGGCCGACGCATATGCGGACGATCTCCTCTTTTTCATTACAAACCCGGCAACCTCCCTTCCTCACCTGCTTACAGCCCTTGATGCATATGGCCAAATATCCAACTTTAAAGTCAACCTTCAAAAATCAGCAGCCCTCAATATCACCATGCCCTCAGGGGCGTTTGAAGGTCTTAAACCTCGCTTCCCTTTTCACTGGGAATCGCACCATATTAAATACTTGGGCACGCTTATCCCCAGGGATTTGGAAAGCATATATGCCATCAACTTTCACCCCCTTCTGAAGAAGATAGCCATTGACCTCAAGGCCTGGCGACCCCTGCACATCACCTGGCTTGGTCGCTGTGCAGCGGTGAAAATGAACATATTGCCCAGGCTTTTATATCTCATGCAGGCCCTCCCCATCAGCCTACCTTCTCATTTCTTCAGGACAATACACAGTGACATAATATCTTTCATATGGGTGGGTAAGACACCCAGGCTCAGCAGATGTATCCTTTCACTTCCCAGGAACAGAGGGGGAGTGGGACTGCTGGATATCGCCACCTATTACTCTGCCATACACATGTCAAGACTCCTAGACTGGTGCCTCCAACGGGAGGATAGGAAGTGGGTGACGATGGAACGGAGTTTGTTCCACCTCCCGATTGAGGGACTCCCGTGGCTATCCCCCCCCCTACCAACAGAGGTCCAATCCCATCCACTGGTCTCTACTACTCTGCAAGTGTCGCGTAAAATAATAAGAACATCCAGACTTTCTCCGACGCCCTCGCCCATAACCCCGGTCCTTGGGGATCCTGACTTCCCCCTGGGAACTACAAATGCCCGTATGCGTCGCTTACTCCTTAACGCCCCAAAGTTTCGCTTGCTTGACTTCAGACAATCTGGAGATTGGCTATCGCTTGCAACCATACAATCCCTCATAGAGCCTCCCCTGGACTTCTGGTGTTCCCTCTCGTTGCGCCATTTTCTTAGAGCGGTACTGAACGCACCTCAGTTAGACAGACCTCTGACAGTTTTTGAACAGTTATGTTCGGGTAGTCTCCCCGCCAGGCATGCGGTGTCCCAACTCTACAAATTGCTACAGGACCCGGCCGACGACTCCCCCTTACATTTCCTACAACACTGGGAAACAGAACTGCAATGTAGCTTCACGGACAAACAAAGAGAGGTTGTCCTGGAAATGACATTCAAGGCCTCTTTTGCAAACAGATACCAGATACCAAGAGTCAGGATATGAAATTTAGACATGTTGTTTTACATGCTGGTTTTGTGAGTGTGCCATGATGCCTTTCTACAGGATATGAAATTCTCACACGCTGGTATAGGGTTCCGTGGTTGCTCCATAAGATGAACAATTCGATCCCGGATGTATGTTGGAGATGTGGGAGGGACTCAGGTACAATGTTACATATCTTCTGGAAGTGCTCGGGGATACAGCCCTTCTGGGAGGGGGCCCTGGAGATAATTGAGCACCTGACGGGGGCAGACCTCAGGGACGACCCAGTGGCTTGTCTGCTCCATTTGACCCACCGTTCGATCTCAATACAGACGCTCACTAACCCATCACCTGGTAAATGCAGCCAGAGCCTGTATACCCTTGAAGTGGCGGGACCCCCAACCACCTACAGTTTCCCCTCCGGAGCTCCCAGGTCGGCGACTAGGACTCTTGAATGGTGTGTTAGGCCCCGTCCGGTCCGACTCCCTCCTCTTCTTTCTCTAACTGCGCTTTCTACTGCTTCTACCTTAGCCACGAGATACAGCTATTTTCCGGGTTCATACTTAGATACGGAACTTTCTTCTACAGTGAAATGAAACCCTGAGGATTATGGCAGAATACGACTACAATGTGTTTAGATAAGATACACCTTTACTGATTTGACCTTAGAAGTCTTGCTGAATATGTCTGATGTACAACAGTCTGTTATATTGTGGAGCCGGTGCATGCTGTAACCTCACCATCTCCACTGTTACTGTGTTTTATGACATTGATTCAGTCAATAAAGAATTTTAAAAAAATAAAATAAAGCAGATCCCTGTTGGAACTTAAAAAAAAAAAATCTGAGGGTTTAATGTCACTTTAAATAAAGAATATACAGAAAAAAACTGGAAAGTGCCAGTGCAAGGTCCAGCTGCAGACAGTCTTCACCCCGTAGGTGTGCATACTCCCTGGGGAGCCTTCAAGGACAGGATGCCACCCGTGGGTGTATCACAGCCCTCAAAACATGTTGCGGCTAACTAACTAACTAACCAGACTAGGTGTCTGGAGAGTGCCACAAGCAGGATCCAGTGCCCAAGGATCACATTACAGGCCAGTCTCATGTCTTTATCATGGCAGAGTCCAGGTACAGCCTCTAATGATTCCTGAGGATCAAACAACCTGGAAAACAGCAAAATGAGCTTTCATGCACTTAATGAAGAATCTTGATTGAAGAAAAAGTGTCTTGATAAAACTAAAGGAATTTTAAGTAAAATGGGTCTGCTTCTTTCTAAGGAGAGATGTCCATTCTCCTGCCAATAAACTGAAGAATAATGGGAGTGGGAGGGTTTATATCCTGGCTGACTAACAGCTTTTATTTGCCAGTGTCCAATGCTACAGTATGAAGCAATAAAACCCAAGTATCTCAGAATCCTTCAGACCTTTTAACCCTTTCACTGGCACCAATGTATGGCATACATCACTGGCGGCGGGCCCCTTTAAACAGACTCCCAGTGGCTATAGCTGCCAGGACTCTGTTTACATGTGTAAAGACAGCATGTTGGCTTTACACTTGAAGCTATTCTGGCGCCAAGCTGCTGCCAGATCGCTTCCAGGGGATGGTGAAGTGTGGCCCCCTGCCTGACAACCCCGCCTTGCTTCTCATGCACTGCTGCTCATTCTGCAGGTCCTTAACTGGCATCTCAGCTGTCAGCGGGAAGTGGGGAAGAAGTCTGGTGAACATGCGTTCGTCGATCTCCTTACCGCTGACTGCGGCCAGAAGCGATGCTGATAACTTCACTTCTGGTCCCTCAGCTGTCATTGCTCGGCTGCCAAAGCCGGCCAATAAGCTATTGGAGTGTGAGCTGCAGTCCAATAGCTTTTTTTGGAGTGGAAAGGTGACACCAGTGGTCTAATTGACCCCTAACATCCCCTTAAAGAGTACCTGTCACCACTAGTATGCTGTCACATATGGGGCTTCTAAGTCCCCCTATGTGATAGCAATTAAGTAAAGTTAAAAAAAAAAAAGTTTGAAAAAAATAAGGTTAAATAAAATAAATGAAAACATAAAAAAAACGTCCCCTGCGAGCACGCTTGTATTAATGTAAACACGTTTTGGGTCCGCATACGTACAAAAATGACAATTGCGCTACACATGTTAAGTATCACCGTGTGCGAGTGAGAGCAATAATTCTAGGGCCAATAGTCATGGATATCTCTAAACTGATGGACAATTTGGTGTACCATATTTTGTTGCCGTTTCACGGATGCACGCAATTTTTATCCTGGGTATGTTTGGGTATCTATTTACTCATCATAAGCTCATCTTTATATTTAAAAAAAAAAATGGGTATTATAGTGGTTTGTTGGGGCACTAAAATTAACTGCATTTAAAAAAAATATTTGGGTTTGAGAAAGAGTTGCTCTAATATCGTGCAACATAAACATTTGCAACTGCCACCATTTTATTTTAAGATCTGTGCTTTCAGAAAATATATAATGTTTGGGGTTTTTTAAGTTATTTTCAGGCCTATAATATGGATTATAACATGCGTGCACAAAATACAAAAAAAGACCTTGGCAGCAAAAAGGTAAATAAACTATTAAAGGAGAACTATGAGGTGAGTGCTTTTCAATCACCTCATAGTTCTAGCCGACCTGTGACAATGAATCTGTCACAGGTCGGCTCAGTAGATCGGGAGGTGAGCGAACACATACCGGCGTCCGCTTACCTCTCGATCCTGTCACAGCTCTCTGCCATGACAGGGGAGGGGCTGGATTCCCCCCTCCCCGCTCTGAACTGCCAGCGCTGACTGGCAGAACGGACGGGGGAGGGGGCGGGCACAGCTGGCTCTGCCTCTAGATAGGCAGAGCTAGCTGTCAGTCACGCAGCTGGGCGGATCCAGATATAATTGTCGGGATCTGCTTCAGCTGCAGCGTTTCAGTATAACGCGAGCTGTAGCTGGAGCTAGTTTGTGTCCTCCCGTTACCCTAAGGAGAACTATGGGGAAAAGCCTTAACCTCATAGTTCTCCTTTAAGAAACACATTTTGCTGTAATGATAGGCCGCAAAGACAAATGAAACAGCAACGATAGAAGTATGTGGCGTATGTTGCTGCTGGGTGTAATAACACTTAAATCTGTGTTTTTAGCTTTAGTCATAGTACATTAGGAAATTACATTGAGAAATAGAAGACCATCAGTTTCATTGCAATTCACATCACATCATAAATAGAGGAGATTTCAATCTGTGACAATAGTTGTCAGTATACCTCAATTTTAAAATTTTAAGATGCTGTTTATATGCTTTCTTTATAAATCAATGCCACAAAGTGAATCTGCAGATCAAAAATTTTTGACTGGATGCAGAGTTGCCATTAACCACTGCTGCCAGCAGTAGATCACCCTAGTCCCCCAGATAAATCCCCATGTCCCAACAATGATATTGGATAATCCAGATGACATTTGCATTTATTTCCCAAGTGTCAAATGCTCACGTAAGTAAATGCAACATCATTTGGAATTTTAGTGATTTGTAAATATGTGAAAAAATCACCTTTGTGCAAATTTTTGCCGCAGCCAACCAGACTTGAACTTAACGGTATGCTAAGGCCCTCAGATTTTCTTCCCTGCATATATAGCAATGAAGTGTTGAAAGATAAATTCAACTTTTTAAAACTAAAATGCAAACGTTTACTTTGAACGTTACCAATAAACCATAGAAATCACACTTTGGTGGTTATATTTTGATAAATATTTGTGGGTGTGCAAATTACGTAAATGTGGGGAAAAATACAGGAACATGCATTTTTCACAATTTCTCACAATTTCTTCCAAAAAACCCTAAGAAATAAAATATATGTATCCAAATCTACTGTCAAATGAATGCCCTATCTGTCCCGGAAAAAAAAATGGAGGGGTACACTACAGATGCTAAAAGGCACCTCTGCCCACCCCCGATACTCATAATGGTTAACTGTATGTGGACCCCCCGCCACTAGCCAGTGTACGGCCCGCACACTACACTGCAGATTCAGGATAACACTCAGAAAGGGTGAGTGTTCTTTGTTCAGCAAGATCACATGACCACATTGACCAATGGGAAGCGCTTCTGTGCCCTGTCTATACTGTGCTGGCAGATCTCATTATCATTTGTAAACTAGATTTTAACACTGTCTGTAGTTGCAAGGGGTTAAAAATCTCAAGACTTGGATGGTACTTTTTATGTTTATTCACATTCTCCCTCAGTTTGTCCCTCTAATTGCCCTTTGAAATTGTTCAGAGTAGCCTGCAAGTTTCAACATGCTCCAGGGAAACAACTAGAAAAGGTAAGAAATATTTTTTGAAAAATATTTTTAGATATGCTGTGTGCATGGGAACATATAACAAGCATGTAGGGGTTTCTCAAATTTCACTTTTAAAATGGGGATACACTATTAATTCTTTCAACTACAGCAGGTGTCAGGGGTACCGGCACAGGTGTCCCCACACCGTATACAGGTACCCACACAGGTTGACCAAACACGTATGACCACACCGGACAAGGCAGTATGTGTTTATATACAGTTTATTTGTATTCCCAACAGGACTGCAACAAGCCGGAATCAGGCCTACAAACAGGTAACGGGGCCCAAGACTGCAAACAGCTTATAGGACTGCAAACAGGGAACAGGACTGCAAACAGGGAACAGGACTGCAAACAGGGAACAGGGTTCAGGACTGCAAAGCAGGTGACAAGACTGCAAACAGGGAACAGGGTTCAGGACTGCAAAACAGGTAGCAAGACTGTAAACAGGGAACAGGGTTCAGGACTGCAAACAGGGAACAGGGTTCAGCACTGCAAATCAGGTAACCAGGGTTCAGGACTGCAAAATAGGTATCCAGAGCGCCTCCAGGTGGCGCTGGAGCTAAGCCCTGCAGTTCCTGTGGTCACCTGCAGGTGTCTCCAGGAAGCCAGAAGCTGTTAGGTACCAGACCACCACTGGGTGGTACTGAAACCTGCAGCTCCAGTGCTCACCTGCGGGTATCTCCCAGCTGTCAGTACTTAGCCATCACCTGGTGCTTCCTGGGAGGATATTTAAACCCTCCCTGCAGTCAGGATAAAGGCTCAGTGTCCTGCTATCATTTCCTGTGTGTCCTGAACCTTGGTTACCTGTTTGCAGTCCTGAACCCTGGTTACTTGTTTTGCAGTCCTAAACCCTGGTTACCTGTTTTGCAGTCCTGAACCCTGGTTACCTGTTTTGCAGTCCTGAACCATGTTCCCTGTTTGCAGTCCTGAACCTTGTTACCTGTTTTGCAGTCCTGAACCCTGTTCCCTGTTTGCAGTCTTGTCCTGTGTGGTCATACGTGTTTGGTCAACCTGTCAGGGGTACCGGCACAGGTGTCCCCACACTGTATACAGGTACCCACACAGGTTGACCAAACACGTAGCAAGGAGGGGGACCTTGCAGGTGCTGCAGGATCTCAATCCATGGCGGTGTATTTTGTTACCAATGGTTTGTTTGGTGACTGTGGTCCCAACTGCCTTGAGATCATTCACAAACTCCTCCCGTGTAGTTCTGGGCTGCTCCCTCACTTTTCTTATGATCATCCTTACACCATTAGGTGAAATCTTGCATGGAGCTGCAGACCAAGGGCGATTGATGGTTATTTTGTATTCCTTCCATTTGCGAATAATCGCTCCAACAGTTGTTTCCTTCTCACCAAGCTTCTTGCTGATAGTCTTGTAGCCCATTCCAGCCTTGTGCAGGTCTACAATCTTGTCCCTAATGTCCTTAGACAGCTCTTTGGTCTTGCCCATGGTGGTGAGGTTTGAATGGAAGAAAGATATTCTGTGGACAGGTGTCTTTTATATACATAATGAGTTGTGGTTAGGAGCACCTTCTTAAATTGACAGGACTAATCTGTGTACCACATAGCCAGCCTGTGGAAGCCAGAATTATTGTTGGTTGGTAGGGGATCAAATACTTATTTTACTGACTGAACTGCAACTCAATTTATAACATTTGTATCGTGTGTTTTTTTCTGGATTTTTGGTTGATATTCTGTCTCTATCATTTAAAAAACACCTATGATAAATCCTATGTTAAATATTATAGACCTTTAATTTATTTGTAAGTAGGCAAACGTACAAAATCTGCAGGGGAGCAAATAATTTTCCCCACTGTATTTGTTAGCACTAGTTGGAGGGGGTTGGTTCTCATCACTGATCCAGGATTGGTTCATTTTTATAAAAGTGATCCTGTAAACTGTGTCAGGGAACAGGTGGATTTGTTTTTCTGTCACAAAACCACCTGCTGTGCTTAATTCCTTCTCTGAAAGCACACTGGCTGCTGTGCAGGCCAGCATCTTGATTCCATACTGGAAAAGCTCTGGCCACTGGCCCAGCCTAGAGACTCCAAAGTCCAGAAGGGTCTTGGTCCACATCCGCATTTGACTCAATATAATCCAAAATCATTTTGTTTAGGTGCTGTCTGCAATCAGGCAGGCCTGGCCGATGTGTGTGTGTGAGAATGACTTTAAAGCCCCACTAAGATAGCCATTGTCACCACTGCTCCTCCATTTACAACCAGTTTATGGCTCAAAATCCTGGGACTTTGTGCAGGTACTGCAGCATGAATAAGCCCATTTACCACAAGCTACTGCAGTCCTCAATGACAACAGTGTCTTCAATCTCACCCCACCCATGTACAACTCCAGGGTTTGGGAGGGGTGAAACCTCTCCTTACCGCTGGCACCCCAACCCCCCACCTTCTCGTGTTTCTCCTCTGCTTGCTGAGACCTCACCTTATGCCCTGAGAACCAGAAATTCTTCCTCTTCCTTCTACTGCTGTGCCTTAGTACCCTGGCAGTGTGTGCTTCAGCAGCAACATCAGAGGCATTGTGTTGCTAATTGTGTTGATGATTTTGTAATCATTATAGCATGTTTGTGCTTCCCACTATTTCCTTTTGCCATCTATGTTATGTTATCTATATTCACATTCTACCCTTTGTATCATTGTTAAATTATATACCAGCACCTTATATCTGAAGAAATGACCAGCGGTCATAAAACACGTTTTTAGGTGTTAAATACAATACTTTGTCTATCAAGTTCATTCTGTGAGAGCTTAAATTTCACCATAACTGTACAACAGGCACCTCTGCAATACAATTAGGGATTTTTTCCAAAAATGACCACGGGTTCTTTACCAACCTGATGTCCGCAGGCCTCACCAGGATTGGGCCCCTTCCGGCTAGGTTCA